CCCCAAAACCCCAAAACCCCAAAACCCCAAAACCCCATATGGGAAAGAAATAATTGAGATTTATATTATTACTAGAAATTCATCCTGATCTGAATACACTTCTTCGGGGACTCACCATATAGCTTCTCAGGAGAGACAACACAAGGAGGGGAGTATCTGTAATGGTCACTAATAAAACTTACTTATAATCTTTAACAGAAGTCATTGAGGAGCTTTTATAAGTGTTCGTATTCGGATCTTGCTTATTAAACTTTGTGCTGTCAATCTCTGAACTCTAAAGATACATTACCAAAAGTACTCTTAGTATATCTTTCTGGGATTGTGAATTTGCTTGGGCATTATTTGAACTTATTGATCTAATAGGTAAGATAAAACGCTTACTTTTTAACTGAATATCCAGAGGGGATAACTTCTCTACTGATAGCTTGGAACACCTTTTGCAAATGTTTTTGCATAAATTCACTTTTAGTGACACTAGCTCTCCGAGGCTTTCCTGAATAAGGTCTTTGTAATCTCTTTTGTCTTTTTGAACTAAAAATAACTGAATATCCTACTTGTTAGCTTGAAATTTGGATTCAGCTGTTTTTGAAAAATCCTTTGATTTGTTAGAATTTATCTTTATCCAATAATTAAACATTATTTTTCACTTAAAAACTAATTCTAAGCCGATATTCAAGAAGATTAATATCTGTTTCTTTTAACTACGAAGCCACCCACAGGTCCCCTCACTTTTGGAAGAATCACTTCTTTCAATACCTGTACCCTCACTAAGTATATGAGACTTCTTTGGTCAAAATACGAAAGAAATAAATCTTTAGAAGCAGGATTTTAACTCTTTTAGAATATTAATTGTCTTTCATTGTCAGCTCATATTTATTAAATAGTTCTTGACTTGGATTCGTAAAAAGTGTTTTACTCGTACAGTAAGAAATTATCATTTTATTTTTTAATAAAAATATTTGAAAGAACTTAGAGCGAAACCAAAGCTTATTGTTAAATTAGAGAATCTTGCATTCATTTGAAATTGAGAGACCTTGACCTTTCACTCACTTTTAGAATAGATTTTGAAGTTACTGTAAGATCTGGATGAGGCTTCTTGATCAATGATGGTTTGAAAGAGTTCTTCTGAGTTACTAAAGAGCCAAACGGCATCTCCATAGACATTCCTCTCTTCATAAAAGTTTCTCTTGACTAGAAGGATCAAATTAAAATTACCTTTCGTGGTTTTGAAAACATACTAGAGGTCTGAATGGGTCGAGGAAATGACTTTTTGTATTTATTATATGCTGATTTTATTTTCCGCTTGGGAGTTTGCTATAGTTCAAGCTGAAAATCTACCTTATTTGAATCTTTCTCTCTGATATTGAATCTAGCGATTAGTATTAATCTTACTCTTTATGAATCTTTGTAAGAAAATCCTCATCACTATCCTGATTTGTCTGAGATGTGATTACCTGTTCTTCTAATTTTGTATCATTTTGAGAGATATCTCGTTTTTCGATTAAATGTGTTGTTTGTGTAATTTGCTGAGAATCTCTCTTTCTTTGAGGATTTAAAAATTTAACTCGATAGTTATACAGAGTATCCTCCAAATCAGAGTTAAGTTTATTCTTAGTGTTATTTTTCTGTCCATGCTTATTTGTATTCAACCCTTTCGGTGTTTTTAACGATCCACAAGTTTGAGAATTCTGAAGGATTGTCTCATTTATAGTCAAGTTGTCTTTTTGAGAAATGCTTCTATAAAAATATGTTTTCTTAACCTCTTTCTCATTAACAGCCATCTGTTTGACTTCCAAGTTCATCTGAACAGCATCTATAAACTTCTGAATATGAAATTACCATCAAGTTGAGAGTGTCTCCTAGTACCTCCTCGAAGAATATATTTATCCTTCTTTAAGGTCTTCTTGGGTTTCAGATATTTCTTACTACAAATAATTGTTAAGGGATTACGATTTGGTGCGTCTCTTTCCCTTTTCTGAACTGACTCTTTCAGAAACCATCTTGTTGTAAGCAGACCTATTCTTAAGTAAACCTAAAAGAATCAGAAGGGAAATTTACTTTTTCTATGAGGAGCATTGTTTAGTAACAGAGTCCTAGCCTGCAACATCGCTTGGTTTGGATTATCTTCTTGAAGGGGTTGTTTTATGCCAGAGAGATTATTTTGAAATGATATCAATTTCCTTCATATTATTGCTTTTAGATGGAAATTTTACAACTCTAAAGATCAGAAAACAAGTCTTTACGATGTAGAATGTTTATGCTGTAAAATCTTTGGAGATTTCTTGGACTCGACAGTGGTCAGCCACCCAAAACTAGGATTCTTGGTATCCTTTTGTGAAAAGATCTGGGCTCTATTTGACTACAATTTTGCTCATATCTCCCTTAATAGGGCTATATCTATAGCCTATTTGCTTACCTAACTACAAAGATGTGGTTCTTGTTGGCCTCATGATCGATAATTTCACTAAAAATCCTTTTGAGTACTTACTAGCTTCTTTTCTGATGAGCTTTCTTCTGCTTGGACTACAGAGTTATTTTAAGATTTTACCTTTCTTGTCTGGGTTTTTAAGATACCACTTTTTGGTCTGAAATGGCTATTTCTGGATTTTTTGAAGTATTTTCCTAGAGATAGATCAAGTGTTAGCCAAAATTGAGGGGTAGAGCGATATGGGGTAAAGATTGTGGTAGATTGTTAAAAAGAGATTAAATAAGGGAAATAAATACTTTGAACACATTTTTTTAATAAAAAATTAGATCATTTATTGCCATAAACCCAAAAAATCTTATATCTAAGCTTATACACTCTCCTTCCAAATCTTCTTAATATCACTCCTCCAGTCTCCCTCAACCCTAAAAATTGCTAAATTACCCTTCATGTTTCAAAATTTTCAATTTATAATAATTTTTTCGGGGTTTTGGGGTTTTGGGGTTTTGGGG